GTGTTATAGGAGCATAAAGGCAAGTATGTCCAGATTCAGAGACAGTTTCTTCCCACAAACTGTCAGATTACTGAACTCTACCCCTACCGCTGGCTCACACCGATTTATTTTCTAAGATATATGTTATTTAACTTGTTGTTGCTGCTGCTGTTCTGTGTTTGATTTTGGTGTTAATGTGTTTGTTGTGGAGCATACATGTAGTGAAAGTTAGAGGGCTGTAATTGCTGGTATTTTGGTCCCTCTAGTGGTGATCAGTGGTAGTGATATTAATTTTTATCCGCTGTGTCACAAAGAAATCTGTACAGGCTTTTCCAGGCAGGCTGTATCCCCACTCAAGTTTCCCGTTGTCAGGGGAGATACGACAGATGAGATCAGTGCACAGCCTGTACAGAGCTTTCCCCTCAGCTGTGGCCAGAGACCATTCCTCTAAAGTACGAGACTATAGGAATGTTTGTATATTTTTGTCTTACATTTGGTAACCCTAAAACATTTGCCAGAAGGAAGAAGTTCATATTCAGAATTGAGGATATGGGAAGGATCTGATATAATTTTTTCCAGCCTGTTTGATTATGGATTTTTCAAAGATTATCTGCAGGGAGGGATGCTGTTTCACTCCAATGACTTTCAAAGCTGTTTGGATGAGGAGGGTAATTTGCGATTTAAAATGAACTGATAGATTACCGAACCACACCGTTATACCATATCTGATAATGCTCTCGATGACAGCGTGGTAAAAGAGCAGCATTACTTCCTGTCGAACCCCAAACACTCTAACTCTTTGCAGGAAATATAAGTGCTGCTGAGTTTTGGAGCAAACACTCTCCACATGACTAGTCCAGCACAGGTTACTGTCTATGTGTATACCTAAGTACTTATATGAATCAACCTGAGTGATAAATTCATTTTGGATTACTTCATCTGAGTGATCACCAACTGCTCTGGGAACAAGAACTATTTCTTATGTTTTTTTAACATTCAGAATTAGGTTATTGTTGTCACACCATTGCACAAACCTATGGATTTCTGACCTATACAGATGAGCTGCTTCCTCTGTGCATTGAGCCAAGCACAGCTGTGTCATCTGAGGATTTGAAGATGAAGTTAACTACTGATTGCACAATTATTTGTATAAAGTGTTGAAGAAAGATGTGAAGACGGGGGTTTGAATTTAATCTTTTCTGTAGGGGGTTTAGACTTCCAAGTCACA